TAAAAAAAAAAAAAACAAAATTAGGCCGGGCACGGTGGCTCAAGCCTGTAATCCCAGCACTTTGGGAGACCGAGGAGGGCGGATCACAAAGTCAAGAGATCGAGACCATCCTGGCCAACATGGTGAAACCCCATCTCTACTAAAAATACAAAAATTAGCTGGGCGTGGTGGTGTGTGCCTCTAGTCCCAGCTACTCGGGAGGCTGAGGGAGGAGAATTGCTTGAACCCGGGAGGTGGAGGTTGCAGTGAGCCAAGATTGTGCCACTGCACTCCAGCCTGGCGCCTGGTGACAAAGTGAGACTCTGTCTCAAAAAAAGAAAAAAAAAAATTAGCCGGGCATAGTGGTGCATGCCTCTAATCCCAGCTACTCAGGAGGCTGAGGCAAGAGAATGGCTTGAACCCCGGAAGTGGAGGTTGCGGTGAGCTGAGATCACGCCATTGCACTACAGCCTGGGCAACAAGAGAAAAACTCCATCTCAAAAAACAAAAAACAACACCACCACACTGGGTGCAGTGGTTCACACTTGTAATTCCATCACTTTAGGAGGCCCAGGTGGGCGGATGACAAGGTCAGGAGATTGAGACCTTCCTGACCAACATGGTGAAACCCCATCTCTACTAGAAACACAAAAATTAGCTGGGCGTGGTAGTGGGCTCCTGCAGTCCAATCTACTGAGGAGGTTGAGGCAGGAGAATTGCTTGAATCCGGGAGGTAGAGGTTGCAGTGAACTGAGATCACAAAACTGGCACTCCAGCCTGGTGACCGGCAAGACTCTGTCACAAAAAAATAAAAATAAAAAAACTATAAAATTATTACTAGAGGAAGACTAGTAACAATCTAGTTACTAGAAACAATGGGGAAACATCCAGGACATTGATCTGGGTAAAGATTTTTGGTAAGACAAAACAGCACAAGCAACAAGAGCAAAAATAAACACGAGATTACATCAAGCTAAAAAGCTTTTCCACAGCAAAAGATACACATCAAAAAAGTGAAGAGACAATCTACAGTATGGGGGAAAATATTTACAAACTATCCACCTGACAAAGGATTAATAATCAGAACATATAAGGAACTCAAACAACTTGATACCAAAAAACAAATCTGATCCAAAAAAATCAGCAAAAGGTCAGAATAGATTTCTCAAAAAAAGACATACAAATAGCCAACAGCTATATGAAAAAATGCTCAACATCATTAATCATCAGAGAAATACAAATCACACATACCACAATGAGATAGCATCTCACCTCATTTAGAGGCTTTTATTAAAAAAAGACAGGGAATCATAAATGCTGATGAGGATGTGGTGAAAAGAAAATCCTTGTATGAAGTTGGTGGGAATTTAAATTAGTACAGCCACGGCCGGGCGCGGTGGCTCAAGCCTGTAATCCCAGCACTTTGGGAGGCCGAGGCGGGTGGATCACGAGGTCGAGAGATCGAGACCATCCTGGTCAACATGGTGAAACCCCGTCTCTACTAAAAATACAAAAAATTAGTTGAGCATGGTGGCGCGTGCCTGTAATCCCAGCGACTCAGGAGGCTGAGGCAGGAGAATTGCCTGAACCCAGGAGGCGGAGGTTGCGGTGAGCCGAGATCGTGCCATTGCACTCCAGCCTGGGTAACAAGAGTGAAACTCCGTCTCAAAAAAAAAAAAAAAAAAAAAAAAATTAGTACAGCCACTATAAAGAACAATATTCGGGCGCAGTGGCTCATGCCTATAAAATTATCACTAGCAGCTGGACGCGGTGGCTCATGCCTGTAATCCCAGCATTTTGGGAGGCTGAGGTGGGTAGATCACGAGGTCAAGAGATCCAGACCATCCTGGTCAACATGGTGAAACCCCCATCTCACTAAAAATACAAAAAAATTAGCTGGGCATGGTGGCACGTGCCTGTGATCCCAGCTACTCAGGAGGCTGAGGCAGGAGAATTGCCTGAACCCAGGAGGTCGAGATCGCACCATTGCACTCCAGCCTGGGTAACAAGAGTGAAACTCCATCTCAAAAAAAAAAAAAAAAAAAAAAATCACTAGCAATACCCCTGATCTCAAATAACTAAAAATAGGCCAGGCATGGTGGCTCACACCTGTAATCCCAGCACTTTGGGAGGCCAAGGCAGGTGAATCACAAGGTCAGGAGTTTAACACTCAGCATGGCCAAGATGGTAAAACCCTGTCTCTAAAAAAAATACAGAAATTAGCAGGGTATGGTGGTGGGCGCCTGTAATCCCAGCTACTTGGGAGACTAAGGCAGAGAACTGCTTGAACCTGGGAGGCAGAGGTTGCAGTGAGCCGAGATTGCACCGCCTGCACTCCAGCCTGGGTGACAGTGCGAGACTGTCTCAAAAAAAAAAAAAAAAGAAAAGAAAAGAAAAGAAGAAAGAAAAGAAAAACTAAAAACAGAACTATTTATAGAAATGCCATCCATAGGCCTCTCGAATTTTGGAGGCAACATATACAGTTACATGTGCTTTTACGCCCCACACACTTGCCTGTAGGGATTCTAGTTTCAACTGTAAACCAGGGCAATTTCAGGCTGCAGTGCAGGCTTCCAAAGCACTTGGTGCACTTGATCCAGCAGACCCAATGATACTCAACATGTCCATGTTAAATATCATGCTATTTATTGGAAGCCTCTGGCAGGCAACAATAGAAGATGTAGAATACAGCCCTCTGGTATTCCAGAGTAAATCCATGCCTCTTATGCAGATTAACTTTTTCTTTTGTGGTTTGCCACTAGCATCGTGACAGAGAATTAACAACAAATCATGGAACATCAAGTCACTAAGACAAAACTGAGTAATTTGAGACTTTATGGTCTCCAAAGCTTGAAGTATGTACTGTCAGCCCTTATCAAACACAGATTGTCAGCTCCTCCTCTGGATCCAATTCCAAGTTTGTATGAAATCCCATGAAATAAAGGAATATTTACACACACCATGAGAATCCAAAGAAATATTTGATTGTATGACTTTCTAGGAGAATGTGACTGTAAAAAGTCAACATACTAGACAATAATAACTGTTCTAGGTAAACAGACACTGAAGACACTAGAAATTGCAATGCAAAAATCTTGAATGGATCTTAGATCCAAAAACACCTAAGAGCATATGCTGCATCAATGCGGAGAATTTTAGTTATTACACAAAGTAGACATTTCATGACATTATTTTTTATTTAAGTGAAATAGTAGTACTGTGGTTTTAGTATGACAATGCCTTTTTTTTAGGAGATGCATTACGAAATATTTAAAGGTCAAGTATGATGTGTGCAATTCATGCTCAATTTACACTCAGATTGTTCACCGTAAGATTTATTTACTTGAGGAGAAAGAAAACAAGCACAATGCTAAATAAATAAACAAATAAATAAATTATTAAACTGGGTGTGTTAGATGTTCAAATTTTCCTTAGGATCAAATTTTTCAAAAAAAAAGTAAAAACTACACTTAGACCAAACATGCTGTTAAGAATAAATTCTGGCCGGGCGCGGTGGCTCAAGCCTGTAATCCCAGCACTTTGGGAGGCCGAGGCGGGTGGATCACGAGGTCAAGAGATCGAGACCATCCTGGCCAACACGGTGAAACCCCGTCTCTACTAAAAATACAAAAAATTAGCTGGACATGGTGGTGCGTGCCTGTAATCCCAGCTACTCAGGAGGCTGAGGCAGGAGAATTGCCTGAACCCAGGAGGCGGAAGTTGCGGTGAGCTGAGACCGCGCCATTGCACTCCAGCCTGGGTAACAAGAGCGAAACTCCGTCTCAAAAAAAAAAAAAAAAAAGAATAAATTCTGTAGATACTACTTTATTACACTAATACTAGAATAATATTCTAATTATAATAATAAATAATCCTAGTATCAGTGTAATCAAACCTCCATCCTTTTTCCTTGAGGCCCCTATTTTGAAGCTCTGTGGCAATTTCACATGAAGAGAACACCTGAGTATTACTGCCTTTCTTTTTTCTTTGTTTTTTGAGACAGAGTTTTGCTCTTGTCGCCTAGGCTGGAGTGCAGTGGCGGGATCTCGGCTAACTGCAACTTCTGCCCCCCGGGTTCAAGCGATTCTCCTGCCTCAGCCTCCGGAGTAGCTGTGTAAAACATAATACATTTCTCTGAATTTCTCTTCGAAAGTTCAGCCTGTTAACTTCCCTGTTCTTTGTTCTCAAACTCAACTTTCTTGTTCTCCACGCCTCCTTGCCTCTAGTTACTATAAACAACCTTCCAGTCAGCTCTAATCAATAACTCACATCTGTTCCCTTGGCTACCCACTCTACAACTATTCCACCCTTCAAAACCGCATTGTCCCAACATTGTGACTCACACATCCCCCTTCCCTTCCTTATTTGGGGAAAATATTCACAAATATCCAATAGGGTCAGCTTACACTCTGCGGTCCGATCCCAACTCTTGGAGGAGTGACAAGGAGGTAGGAACCCTGCCTCAGAGATAAAACCCCTTACCCTCCCTTGTCCGGTGTGCTCCCGTCAATGATCCGTGAAACGCACCTTCTGTAGAAATGCCTTGCTTGGAAAACTTTTGCTGAGTGCTGGTTTCCCTTTGCAGCACCGAGCATTTTATTTATCTCCAACAAATGGGATTACAGGGGCCCGCCACCACGCCTTGCTAATTTTTGTATTTTTACTAGAGACAGGGTTTCACCATGTTGGCCAGGTTGGTCTGGGACTCCTGCCCTCAGGTGATACGCCGCCTTGGCTCCCAAAGTGCTGTGATTACAGGCATGAGCCACCGTGCCCAGCCTGCCTTTCTTTAGTAGAAAGGCTTGGAGCTGTTAACAACTGGGAAAAAAATCAAGTCCAAGAAAATGAAAATTAAAAACGAAAGGCTTACAGTCTACACGTGTTCATAATACATATAAAAACAGGCACACCCTAAACAACTATATTTTTTCCATCTGAATGTGTCAAAAATAAGTAAACGACATCAAGACAACGCCAGATTCTCAGATGAGACATTTTTTAGCAAAGAATGGAAGTCAGACCTCTTCTGAAACCAGTCTTCTGCCGGTGCTCACCAGGAACACGCCGGAATCGCCAGGTTCCTGAGGCAGGACGATGCGCGGCCGGAGCCAATCTCACCAGAAGACAGAAATCCTCTTCCTTTCAGAAAGAAAAAATTCACAAACGCCGCTTTCCAAGCTTTTGAAGAGGGGAGCACAGAAGATGGAAGCACTCCAGAAAACACCCCGCGGAAGCGGGACAAACACACTGCCCGACCCGGCTCCACAGGGACCGACCGAGCGTGCCGACTCTCGGAACTGGCCGCGCCGGGAGGAAAGACAGCCCCTGGAGAAGCGAGTGAAACGAGCCGGATCCGAGAGGCTCCTGGGCGACCAGGCCCAATCCTTCCTTTGCCTCCCCCTCTGCTATCTCCGGGACCCCGAAGCAGGCAGAACTCACCACAGCCAGGTGACCTCCACCGCCATAAAAGCGAAATGGCACTGAACACTCGGAGGTAGCGCCGGAAAAGGCGCGCTGACGTCACTTCCGTTCTGATCTTCGGGCCGGGCGGGGCTCTTGGACTGGAGTTTCAACCGGGTCAAACACAGAATTTCTATCCTAGTTTTTTCCCGGGTGGGTGCGGACGGAGCCTCGGGTTGGCTCGGACAGCGAGATGCAGAAACAAGTTCAGAGGAAAAGGTGAGGTTAGAACCGGGTCTCCGGACGGAACTGTGGGTTGGGGCCCCTACTCGGGAGCGGTTTAGAGGTGGGACCCGGCCTAGCCCGCGGCTCAGGTGGCCAGATGGGCTGGAGGGCCGGGATCTGGCCTGGGACGCATCCCAGAAGATGCTCCTCCAAAGCTTTTCCCGGGCGGGCGCAGTGGTTCACGCCTGTAATTCCAGCTCTTTGGGAGGCTAGGCAGGTGGATAGCTTGAGTCCAAGAGTTCAAGACCAGCCTGAGCAAAATAGCAAGTCCCTATTTCTTTTTTTCTTTTTCTTTTTTTGAGACGGAGTCTAGCTGTTGCCCAGGCTGGAGTGCAATGGCGCGATCTTGGCTTACTGCAACCTCTGCCTCCCAGGGTCAAGCGATCCTCCTGCCTCAGTCCCTCCCGCCCCCCAGTAGCTGGGATTACAGGCACGCGCCACCATGCCTGGCTAATTTTTGTATTTTTAGTAGTGACGGGGTTACGCCATGTTGGCCAGGCTGGTCTCGAACTCCTGGACCTCCGGTGATCCACCCACCTGGGCCTCCCAAAGTGCTGGGATTACAGGGGTGAGCCACCGCGCGCAGCCCGCCCTGATTCTTAAACACACACACACACACACACACACACACACACACACACGGCCAGGCACGCTCTCAGCTCTCTGCAACCTCCGCTCCTAGGTTCAAGTGATTCTCCTGCCTCAGCCTCTCGAGTAGCTGCGATTACAGGTGCCTGCCACCACGCCCGGCTAATTTTTATGTTCAGTAGAGACGGGGTTTCTCCGGTGGTCAGGCTGGTCTCGAACTCCTGACCTAAGGTGATCCACCTGCCTCGTCCTCCCAAAGTTCTGGGATTATAGGCATGAGCCACCGCGCCCAGCTATTTTTGTATTTTTATAGGTCAGGATCTTCCTCTGTCGCACAGGCTGGAGTGCAGTGGCTCCATCACGGCTCAGTGAAACCTCCAATTCCTGGGCTCAAGCGATCTTTCCTCGAATTCTCCAATAGCTGGGACTGCAGGCTAGTGACACCACAGCAGGCTAATTTTTAAATTTTTCGTGGGGGGATGTCATACTATATTGCCCAGGCTGGTCGCGAAATCCTGAGCTCAAGCGATCCTCTCCTCGGCATCCCTAAGTGCTGGGATTGCAGGTATGAACCACCACACCCGACCTATTCTTAACATCTCTCAACAAACTAATCAAGAGCATGTAAAAAAAAATCTACAGCTGGCCGGGCGCGGTGGCTCAAGCCTGTAATCCCAGCACTTTGGGAGGCCGAGGCGGGTGGATCACGAGGTCGAGAGATCGAGACCATCCTGGTCAACAAGGTGAAACCCTGTCTCTACTAAAAATACAAAAAAGTAGCTGGGCATGGTGGTGTGTGCCTGTAATCCCAGCTACTCAGGAGGCTGAGGCAGGAGAATTGCTTGAACCCAGGAGGCGGAGGTTGCGGTGAGCCGAGATCACGCCATTGCACTCCAGCCTGGGTAACAAGAGTGAAACTCTGTCTCCAAAAAAAAAAAAAAAAAAAAAAAAAAAATCTACAACTAACATTGTAGTGAAATACTGAAAACTATTCTAAACACAGGATTATAGCAACAGTGCTCACTCTCAAGGATACTATCATGCATTGTAGTTACGACCACAAGGAGTGGCTGATGCCTGAGATCCTAACACTTTGTGAGGCCGTGGCAGGAAGATCCCTTGAGTTCAGGAGTTTGAGACCAGCCTGGGCAACATGGCAAAACCCTGTTATCAATCAAAAAAAAAAAAAAAAAAATGCAAACACTAGCCAGGCATGATGATGCATGTCTATAGTCCCAGCTACTTTGGAGGCTCACTTAGGCCACAGAGGGCAGAGGTTGTAGCGAGCTGAGATCTCCATTGCACTCCAGCTAGGGCGGCAGAGTGAGGCCCTGTCTCCAGAAAAAAAAAAAAAAAAAAAAAAAAAAGGAGGAACATTATCTACATTTTTTTTCTGCCATTATTTACAGACAACATAATTATCTAAGTGGGAGATCCAAAAGAATGTAAATTGTTACACATAAAGTGCAGGTTAGCAGGAATAGTGGGCTAAAAACTCAATATGCAAAAATAATTACCATGTCTCTTTTTTTAGGTGGAATCTCACTGTGTCACACAGTGTGGAATGTAGTGGTGAAATACTGACTTGCTGCAACCTCCACCTCCCTGGTTCAAGTGATTCTCCTGCCTCAACCTCCTGAGTAGCTGGGATTACAGGTGCGTGCCACCATGCCCAGCTAGTTTTTATATTTTTTAAGTAGAGACAGGGCTTCGGCATGTTGGCCAGGCTGGTCTTGAACTCCCGACCTCAGGTGATCCGCCCACCTCAGCATTCGGCATCCCAGTGTTGGGATTACAGGCGTGAGTTACCTTGACTGGCCACCTTGTCGCTTTTAACAGCAATAAAATAACTACAAATAAAGACAACAAAAAAGTATGCAATGTCTCTTGAGAGAAATTTGTAAAATACTATTGGAAGAGGTTGAAGATGACCTAGATCAATGGATAGACCTTCCCTGTTGATAGATTAGAGGTTTCAATATAAAGACTTGAATTCTCCGTAATATAGAAAGTTAACAAGTTTTCAATCAACATGTTTTGATGAAGAACCTGATCTTCTTATAATAAAACGTATATGTGTGGAAGTACAAAAGGCCAGGAACACCCCAAACACTCCTGAAGACCTGTTGGCACTTACCCTACAGACATTAAGAAATAGACAGTGTAATACTGGTGTAGGAGTAAATAAATTAAACCAATAAATAGAACAGAAAGCCCCAAAATATACCCTTACGATTTTTTTTTTTTTTTTTTTTTTTTTAGATGAAGGGTCTTGCTTTGTCACCCAGGCTGGAATGCAGTGCCATGATTATCACTCACTGCATCGACCCCCAGAGCTCAAGACTTCTCTCATCTCAGCCTTCTGAATACCTAAAACTACAGGCCAACGTCCAACTAATTTTTAAATTTTTTTTTGTAGAGACAGGGCCTCATTATGTTGCCCAGGCTGGTCTCAAATTCCTGGGCTCGAGAGATTCTGACGCCTCAAAACAAAACAAAACAAAACAAAAAAAACGAATTAGCCAGGGTGGAAGCGCACGCCTGTAGTCTCGGCTACTTGGGAGGCTGAGGTGGGAGGACTGCTTGAGCCCAGGAGTTGGAGGCTGCAGGAAGCTATGAATGCGCCACTGCACTCCAGCCTGGGAGACAGGCAAGACCCTGTCTCAAAAAGAAAGAAAATAAAAGGCCATGCCTTCACTGCATCTCCCGACCAGCCTCTCCCCAGGGGAAGATGTCCATAGCAGCTGCCTGGACTGGCACAGCTCGGGAAGAACCGCGGGCCCATTGGGCGCGAGAGCTGCAGGAGATCTGGGAAAAGGCACTACGACGGTTGGACAGTAGAAGGGTGGCGGGATCCATCCTTTTTACCCCTTCCCTGGCCCTCCAGATCTCCTTGGCCCTTCAGCCACCTGCGGGCTGGTCAGGACCCAGCAGTCAAGTCAGAGGAAATCACGCTCCACCGACTACCCATGGACGCACACTTCCCCTTCCGATTAGGTGGGCCAGAATAGGTGGAGCCCCAGGGCTCCAGGAAAAGGAATGGCAGAACCTGAGTAATTGAAAAGAGCGGGTTCGCTCTTTCCGCCATCTTTCCGTGCCGCCACAATGGTGCGCATGAATGTCCTGGCTGATGCTCTCAAGAGCATCAACAATGCCGAAAAGAGAGGCAAACGCCAGGTGCTTATTAGGCCGTGCTCCAAAGTCATCGTCCGGTTTCTCACTGTGATGATGAAGCATGGTTACATTGGCGAATTTGAAATCATTGACGATCACAGAGCTGGGAAAATTGTTGTGAACCTCACAGGCAGGCTAAACAAGTGTGGTGTGATCAGCCCCAGATTTGATGTGCAACTCAAAGATCTAGAAAAATGGCAGAATAATCTGCTTCCATCCCGCCAGTTTGGTTTCATTGTATTGACAACCTCAGCTGGCATCATGGACCATGAAGAAGCAAGACGAAAACACACAGGAGGGAAAATCCTGGGATTCTTTTTCTAGGGGTGTAATGCATATATTTACAAATAAAATGCCTCATGGACTCTGGTGCTTCTAAAAAAAAAAAAAAAAAAAAAAAAAAAAAAAGAGCGGGTTCATTGTCTGTGGGCGGAGCTAAAGGCGGGGCAGGTGTTGGGGCGTGGCCTCAGTTGAAGACCGGCCCTCAAAGGGCAGTGGATGGGTAGGGCTAAGTCCAGGGCCAGTGGGTGGAGTCAAGGACAGAGACCAGGCTTAGGTATGCTTTCTATTCCCGTTGGCCAGTCCTCAGGAAAATCCAGACAAAACTTTTTTTTTTTTTTTTTTTGCTGCTGTTCTCTACCTTCCAGAGGCCCTAGGACAACAGAAATCAAAGGGATCGTCCAATCCACAAAGTGGGTCATACCTCCATTCATCCTGTTCCTTTTCTAGGCCCTTGTAATGAGTTTAAAAGTTTCCTTTTTTTTTTTTTTTTTTTTTTTTTTTTTGAGACGGAGTTTCACTCTTGTTACCCAGGCTGGAGTGCAATGGCGCGATCTCGGCTCACCGCAACCTCCGCCTCCTGGGTTCAGGCAATTCTCCTGCCTCAGCCTCCTGAGTAGCTGGGATTACAGGCACGCGCCACCATGCCCAGCTAATTTTTTTTGTATTTTTAGTAGAGACGGGGTTTCACCATGTTGACCAGGTTGGTCTCGATCTCTCGACCTTGTGATCCACCCGCCTCGGCCTCCCAAAGTGCTGGGATTACAGGCTTGAGCCACCGCGCCCGGCTTAAAAGTTTCCTCTTAAATTGGTTGTATCTTTCCTCTAGGTTAACACCTAGACATTATATATAAATACATTTAATTTTTTGTTTCATTTCCCGATTGATTATTGTTGGAGAGTTCCGAGACGAGCGACAGGCTCTGATTAAAATCACAGGTCTATATCAGTGTCCAGATGATACAACAGATGCCCAGCAAATAGTTCTTTTCACCTTCCCACTTTTTTTCTTTCTTTCTTTTTCTTTTCTTTCTTTCTTTTTTTGAGTGTGAGTCCCGCTCCGTTGCCCAGGCTGGGGTGCAATGGCGCAACATCGGCTCACTGCAACCTCTGACTCCGGGTTTAAGCAGTTCTCTTGCCT